GTACATGATAAAACAAGTCAAAATTTTTAGTTATGGATTGAAGATCCCGAATCCAATTTTAGCTATCGTTCTGAATTGTTCGAGGTTTTTTTACCAATCCGGAATTACAATTCTATTACAAAAATAAATAATTTCTGTTTATGTGCTTTCTTCATGTTAAAATGCACTTTTTAGGCATCGCGCAAATTTGCCTACAGCCAAAAACCACAAAAACTGGTGATGACAATACCGCTCAAAGAGCTTTTACCGCCACAATATTATATACGAGTAGCGAGTGACACTTGGCTGGGTACTAATGCGCGGACTCCATTAACTTTTAAGCACTTAGTGCTACCGGAACACCATCGCCCTCTTACTGAACTTTTGCCGCTGCAACGTTTAGCTGTTAGTGCTCTGATAAATCCAGTCTATGAATCTTTATATAATTTTAAGCATTTGTAACGGCCGCGAACAAACCTCGGGTAGGGTGTCTGTCGGTCTGTATCAACCGCAAGCGGCGAAATAACGGCATGCCGTTAGACAAAATCATGCGATTTTGTGGTACCGCTAATAAATCGCATGATCTTGCGGTATATGTGTTTATTTTGTTCTTTTCTGATCTCCTTACTTACAAGTACAGGCAAAAATCGTATGATTTTGCGGTACCTTTGCTTGCTTTTGCAAGTACAGGCAAAATCGTATGATTTTGCGGTACCTTTGCTTGCTTTTGCAAGTACAGGCAGAATCGTATAATTTTGCCGTACTCCTTTTTTTTCCTTTTGCTCTTGCAAGCATAGGCAAAATCGTATGATTTTGCGGGATCTATGCTTGCTCTTGTGAGAGTAGCGGCAAGCCGTTATAGAGAGAGCAACAGGAAGAAGAAGAGGGAAATTGAGCGAGAAGGAGAAGTCTGTCTGCGTTTTAAAATTTAAGTCAGAGAGGGGGTAGTGAGTTTGAAGTTGAGTTGGCTCGAGGTCAGTTGGTTTCTAAAAGTGGAAGGAAAAACATCAACGAATATGAGCTCAGACGGAAAGATGACCATTAAGAAGGAAAAATATCAAACAAAAAATTTCTTAACATTCATAAAATCAGCAAAATTGTGACGTGTTAAATACATCGAAGAGCCAAATCACATCTTTCAATTAAAATTTAAATGATAAATTTACTGAAATCTATTTTTCTAAACCTAACGATACAAATAATGAGCTTACGGATTATTGAAACAAGACATGAGTTTTTTAAACCGATTGCAATAGAGAATCATCAAACATCAAAAGACAAAAAGCCACACAAGGCAGTTTGAGCTGTTCGTTAGCGTTTGTCCAGAAAAATCGTGTTCGAGCGAAATCCAAGTTTATGTTGTTATGCAATGTGAACCAGAGAAAAAAATTCTCCACTTTAAGAAAAGAGAATGTTCTAGTTTGATATTGAATGACTGTTAACAGAAAATTCATCCAAATTCTGGATCTGATAATAATAACAAAAGTCGTGTACTTGTCACGTTTTGAGAATCAATTCAATAATTTTTTTTTTCGTTTGAATATCAAAAAAAAAAAGGAGAAAAAAAAAGGAGTATAAAAAGAAAATTCTATAACAGCCTTTTGTTCCTAAAACGAGGAAGAAGAAAAATCAAGAGGAGTAAAGAAGAGAAAAGAATTGATAATTAAATCTCAAAAGACAAAAACTACATAAGGCAAACAAATAAGAAAACCGCAGTACAAAGTCAGAATATTGCGTGATTATAATTCTTAAGCGGTAAAATTGCCTACAACAATAACGAAGTGAAGAGTTGAGTGTGTTAGTAGAATGTACCAAGCAAAGCGCATCGCGTTCGTGTAGGAACACATTATGTTAAAATAGCAATGAGAGGGCACATTAAAAAAAGACAGAGTTAGGAGATGTCGCAAGATTGTGTCTTGCATACCGGAATATTTTATCTAATTTAACTATTAAAAACTAACAAGAAGATTGAAATAAGCTTTGATTTAATCTATTATAAAAGAGATGTGAAAAATTAATATGAGAGGTCAATCTGTCTGCGTGCCTGTATTTAAACATTCCTAAATCTAAAGCACTAAAAGCAATTATTTAAGAAATAAGTTAATTACAAATTTTGTGAAAATCGTATAATATAATAAAGAAAAGAAAAAAAAAACCTAATCGAAGTTTATCTTAAAATTAGCATTCGTTGAAGAGAAGACGGCTTGACATAAAGGAAAAGAAAAGAAAAACAATTTTGGATAATTAGATAAGCTTTTAGTCCAAATATCGTAAAAATCGAATCAACCACTCCTAGGCCTTTTTCCATTTTAAAACAAAAAGAAAAACAAGAGGAAGAAAATCTATAAAAATTTTGGGAACTACAACAAAACAACGATATCGCAGCCATAAACAACAAATTATTTTGAAACTACAATAACTGTTTTGAGTGCTACAACTGGTGCTCTGGCTCTAGGCATACATCTAGCGCCAGAAGAACGTCAGACACCTTTAAGAAGTGAAACGGAACATCCTGTGTCCTGGAGTTGAAGATTGCCGATGTAGCAGCTACCGCGGCCGACGCTGCACCATGGCCTATACTGTAAGTTATTTTTAAGCTATCTAATTTTGTTGTTCCCCATGAGTGGCTAGGCGCGAGCTGCCACCGCTGTGGCTGAGACGTAGGGGCGTGCATATGGTGGCTATGTAGGGCCGACGCTGGACGATGACCGACTGACTCACCGGTGACAGACGGACAGCAGACAACCGACCGGACCTTTTCGCTCTTTTAGTTTATTTTTTTTTTTATTTTTCTTTGTCAGGAGACTCCGAGAGCCAAACCACAATTCAAAAGAAAAAATATATATGAATATGCTCTACCGGCCGAAAAGGAGCGTAAGACCGTGACACATTTCAATCCTATACAAACTCAACTCTTTCATTGCCTTTATCATACTGATAATAATGTTTTGCTGGGCGCACCCACAAGTTCAGGTAAAACTATAGTGGCGGAAATCGCCATACTTCGAACGCTCAATAATTATCAAAGAGCTAAGGTTGTTTATATTGCGCCTTTAAAAGCGCTTTAGTTAAGGAAAGAATTAGCGATTGGATTCTCAACTGATAGTTACCACACCAGAAAAATAGGATGGTATCAGCCGGTGTTGGCAGGCAAGAGAATATGTACAGAATGGTGTACTAATTGTTATAGACGAAATACATTTACTGGGAGAAGACAGAGGTCCTGTCATTGAAGTATTTGTGTCACGTACGAATTTCATTACGTCACACACCGGATGCAATATACGTATCGTTGGTTTATCTACTGCTTTGGCCAACGCTCAAAAACTCGCCAATTGGCTGAATATTAAGGAAATGGGGTTATATAATTTTAAACCTTTTGTAAGACCGGTTCCTTTACAAATGCATATAAATGGGTTTTCCGGTAATTAAACCGAATTGAATAACTTTTCTGCATTTTCTTCAATCATTTATTTACTGTCCACGGATGGCCACTATAAATCGGCCGACAATCCAAGCAATACGCTCTTATTTGCCAACGGAACCCACCATAGTTTTTGCTTCATTCCGCCGTCAAACTCGTTTACCCGCTTGGAATCTGATTACTTTAGATACTTACGAAGAGGTAAATGAGACAACGATAAAAAAAGTGTGTTGCTCTAATATATTTCTTCTTTACTTCTTTGCCAGATACTAGATTATTTACGCTTATGCTCGTAGTATTCCGCCGGTGCCGTCTGTGATCCCGGTGATGTAAAATACCTTAACAAGCTTAAACGCTACATTATCAGTAACTACGAAGAATCAGATAATAATGAATTATATAAATACGTGCAATTTGTTAAAAGCAGTGTGGAAGCCAAAAGATGTATCTCTCCTCTTGTTTTTTATTTTATTCATAGAGTTTAGTTCGAAATCCTTTTGTTTTTTTGCAGGCGAATCAAATCTTTTGTGCTTACATGATTTACTAAACGCTGCACCTGAATTGTTGGCCTCTTCGTTGCTTTATCTTCTAGAACCTTTGAATACTTCCTTGAAAGATGTCGCGGAAATAATGCGTATACAAGTAGCTCAAGTTGTAGGCATATTACGGGCTTACGGATTCGATGATCGAAAATTTGACGCTTATGTTAAAGAATGCTTGAAGGCTTTATCACAACGTTCATTGGAACATAAGCATGGTTGGCTGTTAGTTCTTGGCCATACTTTGATGGGATATCTTATCATATAACGTCAAACAAAGAATGGCAAAATTTTGTAGACGCTGTGAAAGTTATGGGTAAAGGAAGTATTGTTTCCATTAAACTCAGCTAAAATGTTATGCGAGAATCAGTGGCTTTTAGTTTTAGCAGCCGTCAAATGTTTTTTCATGATAGGCCAGTGCGTGCAAAGGATCAACTCCTACTGTGGGTTCATCAAAAATTAATAACTCTGGATCATGCATAAGGGCAACAGTGAACGATTCCCGCCTTTGTTGGCCACCACTAAGATTTTTCACAGAACGTTTCCAAGAACTTCAATAAAGCTTCTAAACGTTCTTCAATCCTTTTCCTCTTCATGCCGAAAATCCATCCGAAGTACAACAAAGTTTTTTTAATGGTAAATCCGTCATATAAAGCGGTTTCCTGTGGCATATAACCAAATCTTTGTGCTAAATTACAGAAGATTGTTCAGATGTTCAGACAAGGATGATGGCTGTGCGAGCTTGTCGTTTTCTTTTAAGCAATCCTCAGTTTCCCAAGTATTTTTTGCAATTTTCGGGCTTCAATACTTCGTTACGCATACTATTTTCAATTATAAAAAACTCTGAAGCTCGGATAAATGAAGAAGAAAAACTTTTAGCAGACTCACAAGATTCGGTGAAATTGGGTCTCAAGAGAAATGAACATCGCGAAACATAGTTTGAAGAAGTGGCTCGTAATCTTGATGGAGTGCGTAGCGCCATCTTTAATTATAAACTCTTAAAGATTTCCTCATGTTCATCAAATACATATGCAATGCCGGTACAAAAGGACATACTTGATTTAGCTTGCGAAATTTTAAAATGTTTATTAGTCTTGTCAGAATTGCAAAATCAGTGCCCGTTTCAGAGTCTGTAAATCGCGCATCGTGTTCGTTCGCCCCCATAGTGGACTTTGTTTTTAAAGACAACAAACGTCGAAGTGTGGCTTTAAAAATACTATACGCTTATGCAGATTAGTGCGGTTTATTCCTCCGGCTCACATATTGTGCAGCAAGGTTTAGAAAAAGTTCATATCATCTTAAATTCGTTGGGCGTTGCTCAACATATACCAGAATCGATGATAGCTGCCGTTACCGGTTTATCGGGTTGTGGTCCTGCATTTGTTTACACAATTATTGAGGCTTTAGCCGATGGTGCTGTGAAAAATGGTGTTCCCCGGCAAAAGGCTTTACTAATATTCTTTATGCTTTATTATCGACTCATTTCGTCGACACATACGACATAATATATTTCAACAATGAATTCTTTTTACATATGAATAGCATAGCCATGGAAAGGTAATGGCATTGTGATCTGCCTTTGTAGCTAATTCGGAGAATGTAAAACAATTAAGCCGACATTTTCTAAGATTTATCTATATATCCGAGTACTGACTTTGAGGGGTTTCTGCCATTTGCCTTTATTTTAGAAATTACTGAAAAAATGCGAACATTTTTTTTCCCAGTATGCGTGTATCATATGGCCACTGAAATTAAACCACAAAATGTGGGTCATTTACCTTTGCTAACGCGCGGGGCATTTGCGTGTTCCTTAAGTGATTCATAGAAGTAGTTCTTATAATGCTTTTGCATTAACTTGCATATGTACTATGAAATCGCAATTATGTCTTTGCCCAGAAAATCAAATGTGTTCTTAAAAATCTTTCTTTTGTTCTCTTATCAAATTAAAGCGAAGAATTACTTTCATCACTTTTTATCCAAGCTAAAGTGATAGATTACGTTATATCTAGAGTTCAATTAAATCGGAATTATCTCGTTGTAAAATCTTTGTTCGAATCATAGCAGGAAAGAGTAGAGAATTACGTAGATAAAAATTCATTTTCGATAAACCATTAACTAAGAGATTTGCAATGATTTCCATTTTGCCTAGCAATTCTTGTATGCTTTCGCCGCTCAGGCAGACTAAAATCTAAGCACATAGGTAAGTGTTGATAAGATCCCGTCCGTTTGGCATTCCTAATGTAAATTCAATTTTCGTTGAACATATGAACGCAGTAAGGAACTCCCGCCCGTTCGTCTTCAGCTTTATGTAGCAAAGACAATCGTGAAAAAGGCAAAGAATGCCACATTCGTCCAATTTTTTAGAAGAGCAAAATATCTCAAACAAAGCGTTCGATGGAAGATAATAGTTATACATAATATAATAAGTTTCATAATTATATTGAGATATACATATCTACAAATCATGTAGATCAAAGATATTTAAAGAGATTTTTAATTTTTATCCAACCATCATTCCTCGGACGATTGTACTCAAGCAATACACATCCATAAACAGTTCCGGAGGCAAACATATGACAGAAACTTTTTTACCTTTCGTACGGGCTAACGTCATGTCCTAGGCTGTTCTACTCTCTACCCTAACTACAATCTTCTTCGACTCGTCTTTTTTGTGGGCTCATTAAGCTCCAGTGTTTACAAGTAACCTATATTCAGACCAATCTTGTCTGAGACGAATGAGTTCTCCTATTAACCCGATTATTATTGTCATTGAGAGATTGGTGGGAACATCTTATTAGCAATTAACTTAACAGAGAGTTGTATATCTGTAAACAGGCGTGAATTCCAATATTAGGTAACTAGTAGTAGTTTGCCTTGTCCTTCTCCCACTAATATTCTTATTATTTATTTTAATGTGTTTTTTAATACGCTTTGAGCACTTGATGGAAGTTATCATCTAACATTTGTTATATTTACGTCTTGTTTTTTTTTTTTAAATTAGAAAAACGATAAAAGAGCAAACACCTAAATCTTATTGAATTTCTACTCCATTATTTTTAAAATGTTTGCATTTTCATTTAACTCATCCAATAGATGCCGTTGATCAGATGCTGGGCACTAACGCATATAATCCTACGAATTATTACAATTTCATTGATTCCCGTATTAAACGTAAAGGGGGACAGATACGATTTAGCTTGGAGCAGACTAAACAATAGGAATATTTTTTGCCAATGCTAAGTATTTAACACCTGAGGAGCGTCGCCATTTGGCAATGCAACTGAAAATGAGCGATCGTCAAGTGAAGAAGACGTGGTTTCAAAATCGTCGCGCCAAAAGGCGTAGATTCAATCAATTGAAATATTCTTACAGTACCATATCATCCGATGAACTAATGAGATATAGATTGAATATAATATCATCTAGAAATTTGGAGAACAAAAAAAAGCAACAACAATAACAACAATTATTCATCGAATAAATGGAGAAAAAAATTGATGAAGTTAAAATACTTTCCGTGACTTCTATGAGACCATTTCCTGCACCCTTTCCTAAATGAGTGATGCTAATAGAGCCGTTTTTCTTCCTTCTGTGCGAGCAGTGAAAATAACAAAAAAAAAAAATAAGCAAAATAAAATCTAAAAAAGACTTTGCCTGACTTTTAAATTTTGTATGCTGTGAATTATGGGCCGGATCGGTTGCATTTAAGGCTACGCATTCTTTCTTTGTTAACAAAATTTGTTTAATTTCTATTTTACATTCTTTTCTCATTTATTGCAAATAATTTGTTAATTAAAACTTTTCAAGTACTTTTTCAATTGGATGAATTCACCTTTTTTTTTCAAGGGTATAAGGGGTACAGCGGAGCAAGACTTCATTAAAAGGCTTCCAATCTCAAGGCAAGTTGCTTTAAAGCTTAAAAAAAAGATCCACAAATATAAAATAAGCAAAGGTCAAAATTGCTGTACGACAACTTTATACGCTTATTCTTTAAAGGCACCATAGATAATACAAATACATGCAAAATTATTGAAAAATTTAAACAAATGTGTGGACGCTTATTCTCACATGGTTGGCATTTTTACAAATTAATGAGAACATATATACGCTTATTCTCTAAAGGCACCAATTTTATAGTCAATCTTCCTCTATTAAATTCTTGGGCAGAATAATCAACTCAAGTTTAACCACTCATGAGCATTACAGGGACAACCTTGAAAATTGCAACACAGGCTTAAATGTCATCAAACTTTTAACCAACATTCACACCGGACTCCGACCTAGGAAAGCTTTAAACGTTTACAAATCTATTGTTAGTTCCAAAATTGAACATTCTTACTCCACAATGCAATGCTCCTGCGTATTCATTAAAAAAAATACAAAGCTTTCAACACTCAATCCTAAGACGTTGTACCGGTTTGTCCCCCTCGACACCAACATCAATTTTACGTTCCATCTCATATGAACTCCCCGTAGCTAAGAGAATTTCGCTTGTAACTACAAGGTAAAAATATTTAAATCTGTGTTCTTTGACAAAGTCGCTCCCAAACACAATTACGTCACTCTAACTGCTTCAAAAAATTCAGTAACATCTTCAATAAAGTTAACTCAATACCCTCTTGGAATAACGTCATTCATGATAAGTGCGCAGTGGAATTAAACTTACTTAATTCGATTACCAATTCAAAAAAAAATCGGTCAAGGTCTTGTCGTCGAATTGCTTGTCTGCAAAAACTTAACTACTTCGTCGAAAATAACTTCAAAATATACGAAAATAACTTCAAAATATACGCAACAGATGGATCTGTCAATTCGGACATTGCTAGTTTCTCAATTATAGAATACCCAAATTTACTTTTAGAAAAATTCAAAGTTCTACAAGAACTATCATCTGCGTTCATTGAACTTCTGGCCATCAGACAGGCAATCCTCCTTCGAAAAAATTTGTAGTTTTCTCTGACAGCAAGTCGGCTCTGACTTTAATCAGGAACAAAGACCCATACAATATGTACGTCTTCGATATTTACAACCTTTTAAAAGACCCAAGCATTAAAAAATGCCACATCGTCTGGATTCCAGATCACAGCGGTTTTAGTATACAACAGATAAACTTAGATCGATTCAGAGAGTGATTTCGATCGATTCAGAATCCTACTATCGAACTGTAGTTAGCTTAGCAAAAAAGAAAGTCAAGATCGTTAGAAAATTTTCAAAATTTGATCGGGTGCCGTTGACAGCATTATTTTTACTTGATATTTACAAAAGTATTTTGCAAAAAAAGACTTACAGAAGAACTAAACTCGCTTTGAAGAACGCATGTACATAATACATACGTGAATTTATTTTTTCTTTGTATTTTTATCTTTTTTAAGACTTGGACGTGAGCAAAGCGGCCTAAGAGATGAAACGATGGAAAACTACTTTCTTCGTTAATTTGCGTTCGATTAAGGAAATGCATTTGTTAATCCGAACGATTTATGAACGCTTGGAGCATTGCAATTTAAATCAAGAAACTTCCGCTCATAGTCCCCGTTGGATGAAATACGAAATAGCAATTACCTTAAAAACAGCTGGAGCTTTTTACCCGAATTGAAACGATTTCGTTCGCGAACATGGCATTTATCATATATAAGTTTCGTTATCTTTATTTGCAAATCAATAATATAAAAGAAAACAGCTGTAGAACGTAAAGAGAAAATTTGTGCCACTTTAATTCGAAAGGAAAACACTCGTAAAATGTAAAGAGTGAAGGCGTGCCAGTTGTATTCGAAAGCAAAACACTCGTAAAATTTATATATAGGAAGCGAGACAGTCGAATTCGAAAGGAAAACACTCGTAAAATTTATAGAGAGAAAGCATGTCAGTTGAATTCGAAAGGAAATCACTAGTAAAATGTGAAGAGAGAAAGCGTGACAGTTGAATTCGAAAGGCAAACACTCGTAAAATGTAAAGAGAGAAAGCGTGCCAGTTGAACACAAAAGGAAAACACTCGTAAAATTTATAGAGAGAAAGCGTGCCAGTTGAA